AATTAAACTCAAATTTTGGCATTATACGACAAACAAGTTTAACTTATAGACGTACAGACACAAACATATGAAACTGTTTATTGATAATATTATGAAACGAATTTATCTATTTAACATTGTACCCTGAAATTACAGAAAGAAAATAGGATTTCCGGTTCGCAAAAAGAAAAATTTCGCCGGCCTTCAAGCGCACCGGAAGCGCGGAAAGAGCGCTCGTGCCAGTCCTACTCCGCATCACACATTAAATGAAGAGCGGAGCGCTCGTTTCACCGCCCAACCTTTATCCGCCCTGATTCCCATTGAGCACGCACGCTGATGACATCAATAAACTATACCTCGAGTTTTTGTGAGCTTAGCAATCCTCCCAAGACGTCTCCCAAGTGCATCCATAACTTTACAGTACACGATGAGGCGTTAACCATGTGTTTTATAAAGATAACTCTTTCGAATTTGTCAGCCGATAGCAGGGAAAAGAGGTGAGTGTTGTTGTTGTTGTCACCTCCTCGAGCTGTGTGGGCTGTGGCGTGTGAAAGTCGTTCTTTGCAAAGTTATTTCTTTCAAAAAGAATTTTTCGGTGAATTAATTGTTTTCGGGAAGCTCAATATCAATTTTACAATCTTTTTTAATGTTATCTTACGCGACTTGGGTAAACCTTCTCTCAGTTTCAAGTCAAAAACATAACTGCGAGGTAAAAAATAGTCACGCAGACATTGACGCGTACTGCTTTGAGCGCGAGCTACAATAATAAAAATTTTAGTTAGCTGCTGCATTGATCGCTTTGACTATGTTATAAAATAATTTGTTCATGCTTCAGCTGTGCGTACGTCAAGGTATTGAGCACTTGGGAAGTTTGGAGAGCGCTCAAGAGGCTAGACTTTCTCTCGGTTATGCCTCGAGCAACTCTTACGGCTCTTTCGTGCTCTCCAAACTTCCCAAGTGCTTAATATCTCGACATGCGCACGCTGACGTATGAACAGTAATTGTTGAATGGAAGTGACACTTATATTTAGGTAAGATAATATGTACATTTAGAAAAAATACTGCAGCTGTATCAGCAAAAGATTTTTTCTTTTCTTTTCTCCTTGCACTATATCAAGCCCCTGACGATAATTGCATTGAGTGTTGATTACTCCTTTTACTGCGAAGATGGAAATTTCCCATACTGTTGCCACAATCGTTAATGGAGAACATGTGGTTTATTGCCGCTTTAAAAATGTAGCCACCTTTTCGTATGGAAAGGTTTTCGCGTCGCATGATAAAACAATGATGACTAAAATTGTGAAAATATTGTACTGGTTTGTTTGGGGTAAAATTGCGATGACAAGCATTCTGGGACTAGATTATGAAACATTTTGGCACTTCTTGGGCACGGACGCTTAAACGATGTATAAAGAGACAGCCAGGATATGTTTCAAAAATAAATTGCAACATTTTACCGGTAAATGTTCGTCTCAGTCATAAGTGTCTTGCACCAAACGAGTCAGTGTGAAAATGTCTCCGAAAGCCATCTGAAAAAATACTGATAAAGTAAAAAGAACCTTTTTATTGCCTCAATAAAAGGGGAAATGAATCCTATTGTATCTCAATTTAATATCTGACGTTACTTGGCCAGTGCAGGCTCACTATTGGAGAAAGAGTTGTTCAATCAAAAGGGGTTATTTGCAAGGTGTGAAGGCTTTTCGCTTAATGAAAATAGCTGGTCATGTATTATGTTCGCATTCAATCACCCCCTTAAAAATATCGTCCAAATAATCATGCCTTTAATTGTTTTCGGTTATGTATGTAAAGAGAGCAGTATAAAAAAGAGTTCTTATCAACGTAGGTTAAAGCATAATTCATATTCATGGAGAAAAAGTTCATTAGCATTGTTGATTTCTCCAAGCTTAGCGTCTTTATTTGAGAAAAAAATTGAATCGTTCATCTTGACACTTGGTCAGTTTTTGTGGAGTAGTCTTTTATTCAACTTTTCTCTTTAGGATGGTGGAATAATGACCAGAACTTGGCGAGACTATGATTAAAAAGTAAAATAAGGACTGACTTAACGGTTTGCGTCAAGATTAGTCATGATAAAAAGAAACCTCATTATTTAGCTTTTTCATAGAAACAATAAGATTTTCAGATATGACAACATTGCAAATTCAAAGCTCAAATACTGGCTTATTGATATTCTTATACAATCGATGAGTGTAAAGCGTCTGTAAACTAATTCACCACCAGATCCCGTTTCACTGCATAAAATTTGGAGTTC